GCAGAAAGCTGATGACCTCATCACAGAAGACTGAAAGGTGCTGGTCAGGGGAATTGTAATGGAGCTTGGCATCGGACGCAATGTCGTGAAGGATATGACAAAAATGTTGTGATAACGGAAACTTTATTGTCGTTGGTTTCCCCGACTGCTGACGGACGAGCACAAAGGGACATGCATATATTGCTTCAATAGTATGCTGCCGAGTGCATACGACCTCCCATTGGTTATCGTGACTAACGTTGAAAGTTGGCTCCACCAATTTGACTCCGGATTCTGTTCGAACTTGAATCTGCCAAATAATTACAAGCGTAAACCTTTAATAACAAATTTAAATTAAATTCATTTAGTAGTTTCGGCGATTAAGCATCGACGAAGTCACATAGACATGACAATTTAATTGTATTTATTTTATGCACTTTTTGCAAATCACGTGTAATAACTTCTGTAGGAGGCTCCACTTATTAATACTGTGACGCATTGCCAGGCAACGACTGTATAAACACGTTCCAACACGCAACAATAGAGGAAGCTGTGTTTCTACGTGGTCTGCGTCACGCAACAATAGGAGTCGACGAAACTGGGAATCTCAAATCTGAGTCAGTAAAATATGGTCAATAGTTCCAAGGGACTCGGATCCGAGAAAGAATAAGCTGGCGAGGGCCAGCAGCATACACAGCATATACCTGTCCTCTAGTGAGAGAGGGAGCCCCACAAAATAAGATCGTAATTGTCAAACAGTAATAAATAGGAGGGTTGGGACTTTAATAGTGGCAACTATTTATTTACAACTGATACAAAATAGATGCATATTTCGAAGTTTTACTGTCCTTCAGTGTAGTAACAGCATTGTGTACAACCCGTTGCCAGCGATGTGGAAGTCGTAGGATACCTTTAGCAGCGCCTGTTATGTTGATAGTTCGAATGGAGCGGTCTACTGCCTGAAGAATCTCTGGAACAGTTCTGAAGCGAATGCCACGAAGTGGTTCCTTCATCTTAGGAATCAAGTCGAAGTCACAAGGGCTTAAGTCCGGGGAGTATGGTTGATGGTGCAGCATTTCCCAGCCCCATCGATCGAACAAATCAGCCACAGCTCGCGCTGCATGCGGCAGAGCAAAATGATGGGTGGGTTCTGCAGAAAGTGTCGCTGCTTCTTTCTCAAAGCTGGCCGCAGGTTGTGTTCCAAAAATGAACAGTAATACTGCGCACTCGTACGATTTGGCCCATGTCTCATCCAGCATAATGATACGGCGTAAGAAAGCCTCTCCTTCACGCTTATAGAGCTCCAAGTGGTTACGAGCAGCGTCGTATCGTAGCCATTTCTGCATTTCCGTCAAATCATGCGGAACCCATCGTGATGAAATTTTTCTCATGCCCAGGCGTTCCTTCAGAATGTGAAGCACAGTTGTGTGCGCTAATCCTGTCTCTCGGGCCAGCTCACGAATCGTATGGCGTCCATCACTCTCCAGTAACGCGGAAAGAGCATACACTTATTCTTCACTGACACTAGGACGACCTGGCCGACGCATGTCTGCCACATTTTGGCGTCCCTCGTTGAAGGCTTTTACCCACCTTGCCACTGTTCTGTAAGGCAATGCAGATTCCCGGCAAGCCTCTCTTGAAGACATTGATGACACTGTCGTGCTGTACGGCCTCTGACACATTCAATCTATATCCAACTCCGTTGTTCCTGTTTCGAAAACATCGTGACAACACTACATTAGACCGCAAGCTAACACGAGGCTCTGTTCTTCTCGTCACTGCGATGCGCGTAATGTGGGAAGGGAGAGTCCATTTGCTCTGAGGTAAGGTAGGTATGTAACTAACGTGTGGTATAAAGGACATTATTTGGTTCCGTTACATGGCGTCTCTACAGCAGTGTTGCCACTATTAACGTTCCAACCCTCGTATCTGGCCATGAGGCCGAGATGGGGCTCGATACCAAGACTTACTGACTGACTGTCCGTCAGTCGCAATGTGACTTTGACTTGTTTGGGGCAGCTGAGTTCCGAAGTTCCGAGGGAGCAGTAGTGTGGCCAGAAGTCGCAGAAGGAATTAGAATGTGTCAAGAAACTTTGGTGTGTATGACTTTACATGTGCTGTAGTACAGCGATATTAGGAGTGTGTAATTTATCGAGACTTCTATAGTTCCTTTCTTATAAATTCGTTACCAGGAAATGGATAGTGAAGACTACTTCAAATAGACTGAGAAAATTAGTGTGGAGTGCTTTTAGATAGTGTAAATCAGCGATAGTATAATAATTTTTTGTAGTTACGACCTGCAGGTGGTTAGTAAATCTAATCACCCATCCGAACTCCATCTTTAGTTACTAAAACACGTGACTATAATTTTTTATTCCAGGTTTTCGCTACACTTAATTATTGATGTTAACCTTGCTCTCAGGCTGTTACACCACGTAGTGTTTTGTAATTTTGCCGAAGTTTCATAGGTATATGTTGCCTCCATCTACATATTTCGACCCTGAAAATGGAGGCAGCATCTGTCTCCGAAACGTCGACGATGTCGCCTACAGCGGCACGATGTAACAACCCAATAACAGAATTTCCAGTCGATATGAATATGTAGCGAGCTGTAGGCGTGTAGCGAGAAGTGCAATCAATTATCTTTATGGCTGGAGGACGGACGCTGATAAACCAGCTCGTCACTTCTAATCAAATCGTTTGCACTGCTGGGTCCTGTAAAGGGATCCCAATTAATTCCAGAGCCAGTCTGGTTCCCTAATACATCTCATATTTACATCAGGTCCTGCCTAGCGTTATGAGAAGCTCGTCGAATATTACTGTGTCACGTGACAGTTTCGTGTTATGTTTCGCTAGACGGGCCCTCAAATCCTATGTCTGATTACGTAATATAATTGAAAATCTGTTCTATGTATCATTAATTATTCAGTATCCCTTCCAAGTTTTAACTTTCCAAATACGTAACCAAATAACCAACAATACGCTTGATAAGGGAATCCTGCTGTTCAACAATGAAAACGTTTCATTTAGCATTATCCTGAACCAGGACGCCTTATTACAGCCTTTATTTCAAAAGATCCATCTTACAGTTTCCTCATATCTACTTCTAGTTCTTCTAGGTGAATGTCTTGTATGATGTCTCCACGTGGAAACTCCCTAAGCATTCCTTGCCTCCCCATGCTAGTTATACACGTATGTATAGAAGGGGGATTCACATCTCCTGATGTCTTCGTTTCAAAAGAGCTGATCACTTGGATAAGTGAGGGGGTGTGTGACCAGTTAAAGAGATGTCTGACCAACCGCTGTGAGGGGCACATCAGCCCTTACAATTGGCAGTCATTCGAACAAACTGTGTGTTTAGGCAACTGGACATTGGGTTCCTGGTCAGGAGCATAAGCAAACCTTGTGTTCTCGCCCTAGCAATTTCAACTTTCTCCGGGTTTCCTCTTTTAGCTTATCGCACAACACATTCATAATGCGGATTAAAACGGTTTCATATTCGTAGAACACACCTTCAGTAAGACAATGGTGTAAGTTCCATGTTTCTTGCCTCGTTAGAATAATATTTTTCACTTGTAACTAAGTTATAACACGATATCAAGAGCACTGCAAGGAAATCTGACTACTAAATGGCTTCTTGTAGCACTGTCATTTGGTGTCAGCTGGTTTAGGTAAATGCTTAATTAAGCACTACGCAAAGAACAAGACTGCAGAGTTGCAGGTACAGCTTTATACATTCGTAACCCCGACCTGTACGGAGGCTTGTGTTCGGCTTCAAGCCTATTGGACGGTAAGCTAGAGCCGGTTTGGCAGTGGCGGAGGAAAGACAAACCACAACCATCTAGCTCGAAGCTTAATCACTATATTGACTGAGCTACCGCTGCTCCTGTTTTAATTTAGTTGGTATAAACAATGACCCGGTGTGATTCATGAGCTTAAGGCTAACGAACTGTTTGTAAAACATTTTCGCTGTCCCTTGTTGAACACCGATACTTCTAACGACTTTTGCTTTTTTTAACAAAATGCTATGGTGACACTGATAACAGAAGGCAGAATATTTCAGTAAGCTGAGTGGAAGCAAGTCTTGGTGCTCGTGGTGGTGATTATAATGCTAACCGTAGTCAGGTTCGTAAAATAAAATGCAGTGCCTATTGTTTTCTAAAGATGTCTGCAGGAGAACGGCGCAAATTGGATTTCTCGAAGTGCCAAGACCTAACAGCCGAAGCGCGTGTGGGCTGGAGTGAAATGCGAAGTTGCAAAGAAAAACAAAACATGCATAATGGAAGAAGTGCAGACGCTAGTGAATGAGGGACTGATAGGGTGAACAAAATGCTTGCCATCTTGGATAGAGCACGCAGGAAATATACAAATAGAGGATTGCTTAAAAGAAATTAGAAGTAACAGAATCAATAACTGTCAATTTAAAGGACAGTAACACCAAGACAACGGTGACAAAGGTAATCGATAAAACATAGTCTTAACTTTGAATTACAAAATATATCAGTATCATTCTATGCTTGGTTAATCTGTTTTATACATATTTATTAACGTCCCAATGTTAGAACACAAATATCTCTCTCCCTCGCCCAAATTTTCCTTTACATTTCTACTATTTCGAGCACGCAAAACTTACCATTCGCTCTCGCCAAGCGTCACGAGATATGAGTCATCGCATAGCCCACTGCAGGTTTCTACATTAAGCAGTCATAATAAGATTATGTGAATTGAAAAACAACGAAGTCATCGTTACGTGATATCCTGCATTGCTTATTCAGTTCATCCCTTTTGGGTTGATACATTTTCGTGCGCACTTCATTTCCAAATACTTACAATATACGTACATTCCTCCCTTATACCAAGAGGCCATGTTTCAAACTCGCACAAAATAAATAGTAACAACTGAAATGTTTCCGAAAGTTGATGGGATAATAACAGGGTTTTGATTTCGTAACATGCTGACAACCATAACAGTGAATGCGCCTTCAAACCCAAGCAAATTTGACAATACAAAACGAACTTACGCCAGGTAGGCGCGGTTCTCATTGGGCAGGGCTGCAGCAAGGCGGTCCCTGAAGTTCTTGAGCTGCTCCCGGTAGCGTTTGTGCGGAAGCCCTTCAAGGTCAACATCTTGGAAACAGGGCTGACCTTCCTCCAGCTTCTCCCAGTCCCTGATCATCGCCAGGATGTGGTGGGCAGTTCCAGGCGCCAGACCTTTAATACAGAGTTCATAACTGTACAGCATTCACGATGTGGGCATATGAACGCGCACTGCGCATTCATTGCGCTGACTGCTGTGTGGTACAAAGTGCCTACCTAATAGTCTCTGGCGATGTTAAGCAGTAAAACAGCCCTGATTGCAGACTTCAAGCCAATCGAGACAATATGAATAGTGCAGTATTTGAAACCATTGGAACTTTCACAGAGGAGGAAGCAAGTGAAGGACGAAATCAATGAGCTTGAAGTAAGTACTAACAGCCGAAATATTACAGACTTGTATGGAGATACAGTAAAACTTGGTTATAGCAACATCGGTTTCTGCGACACCTTGTCTATTGCGTCAATATGCAATGGTACGAACTAATTCCTCATAAAGCAACTGTTTTTATACCTTGCTTAGTACGACATGCACAAATGCATCAACCTCGTATGTAACGTCATTTTCATTCCTGAATTTCTCTGATATGGACATTGAACGTAATTTAGAAAGTGTGTATTGGGCAAGTAACAGGAAACAGATGAAGATAACTGATTACTGTACTCGTATCTAGGTACAGTAAGGCACAACAATTGATGTAATCTACTGTAATTTGGTGAGTAGGCCTACCTTTAATATACAGTATTAGTGCGGTGTGTACTGTCAGTGAAAAGCGCTGTAATATGTCTTTGATATTACACATTTGGGCAATTCCACGTTAATGTTAGGTTAGTCTGTACTTAATTACGTATTTCACTAAAAAATGCAACATTTTAACTCGGTTTTTGGTAGATTTTTACGTGACTAACATAAGGCTACTCTGGAAGTGCCCATTTCGGTTACAACGACATTCGTTTATAACGACACTATTTTTAGGTCCCTTTGATGACGTTATAACCAAGTTCTACTGTATATATAAATTTAAGGAGACCTACCAACCTAACTTAGGCATGTACTGTCTTCGCCCGCTCGGAAGCCGGGATCATAGGTTAGAACCCCACACAAGGCATGGATGTTTGGTGTGAGTATGTTTTTATTCTGTGTTTGTGTTGTCCTGTGTTTAGGTACAGGCCTTGCGAGTCCTTCCGTCTGTAAAAATGATAAATGAAACTGAGAAATCAGCCCTATGCTCCAGAGTGGGAGCGAAGAGGAACAAGAAGGAGACCTACCGACCTAACTGACGTGGTAGAAATTTCGTTGATTTGACAAATGTATTCGCAATGCAGAACTTCGATATTTTTATAAAATTATTATGAATGAAATAGCTTACCTACAAGACTGGGTGTTCAAAATGCAGGCTCACAATATTCGAATTGTTAATCAACACTAGTTAGGCAAGTTATTTTTGTCGGACATACTTAACACTAGACTAATTGCGAGGCTGGCTGGCTGAACTTACTTCTCTTTCCTTATAAATAGAAGTTCCCATCGCGAGACAAGCACCGCAAAATACAGGGTGTTTCACGACTTTAGGGTATAACTGCAGGAGGTGATTTCCTGGGTCTTTGTGATCAAAAAAGTTCATATAAACATGTGTCCGATTTTGGACGGTTACGGAGTTATGACCTTTTTAAACTCAGAATAGAAGGTAACGATTACTGACAATAAACGGAACAAAATAATAAACCAGCATAATACATGATACATTTAAAGTATGAATGTAAAGTTAACTTCGTGAAATTACCTTTAATTTGAATTTATTGGTGCTTAAAGCTGATTTTCGAAAATGCCACCGCCGGCCGCAACACAGGCTGCCGCTCGGTTGTGAACCGCGTCGGACATACCAACCCACCACGCCTTAGGTACCTCTCAAGTGTCGAGATAACGAGAACGCTCTGTCTGTAGCTGGCGAAAAATAGCGACCCGCCAGATGACAGACGCGGTTCACACGAGGGCGTGTACGGGAATGAAAAAACGGCCATAACTCCGTAACGGTCCAAAATCGGAAACATATTTATATGAACTTTTTTGATCACAAAGACCTAGGAAATCACCTCCTGCAGTTATGCCCTAAAGTCGTGAAACACCCTGTATATACAACAGCCTCGGCCACAATGAGTGCTAAGCATTCAGCAATACTTCTCTAGTATTCTGAATTGACACTTCAGTTTAAATCACCAATACCTTTGATAAGTCTACTTTCTAATGGCGACCTTCTGTATGAAGTAATATTTATTTTAAATTTCAATTTACAGCATTCACTAACGCCAATATTGCGGGATTTTCTTGAAAAGTCGATAGTTTGTCAATTGGAGAAATTCCTAGCTGTATGGAGCTCTAAGTTTCATTATTATTTTCGTAAAAGCCGAGTGACGGATCCTAACATGAGCCCCGTACATACCATTCAGCATTTTCACATATTATTTTTTCTGAGTGCAAATTTCTTGTGGCCTACTATCCTACCATCAACGCCTACTTTTCCAAACTAGTCATTTTACTTGCGGCATCCAGACTAATATTTTGTGTGTATTCTCATATGTACGTGTGCTGTACGTCCAGCATATTTCATTCTTGCTTTAACTGCGCCAACAGTGTTTGAAAAGGATACATTTCAAACTCTTCTCCGGCCTCGCGTTTTCCTTCTTTTATAGATCCAAATACTCTCCTCAGCGCCCCAGTTCTCAAACATCCACATTTTTTGGTTCTCCCTTCGAAGAGGAAATCAAGTTTCACACTCATGCAAAACAGGAGGATGCATTGTGAGAGCTGCTTACCGAGGGCATGGTTGAACTGCCTCTCCACTGCGGAATAAGTAAAATGACGAAACTTAGTAGGAACTGCACGTGTCTCGCCGGCTGAGAGCTTTCTTGAGGCTTCTTGGATCACCTCTTGTAGTTCCTGACACTGGGTTCTCCATTCCTCTGTCTGCACGTCACTGGAATAAACATTAAAAACAAAATATTCACGTCTACAAATTCTGGCGTTCAAGATGTGAATCTGTATGCATGAATTCATAATGAGAATGAGCCAGATCCTAGCTTTAAGAAAGATATAATTTTCTTGGAACTCGTTCTACAAGAGAAAATTAGGCAAATGAAAGTTAATATTCCATGAAATTAGAGAAACAGCTAGAGATAGATTGGCTTGGGTAATACAATAAACTGTGAAGCCTACAAATAGAACTCTAGAGCAAAAGAAACGTTCATTTGCAAATTCTCTCTGATGCCAAGGATAGAATTCATAAGAAGGCAGAACTACTCCTAGTAAACAGATATCGTTGAAGAAAAGAGATGATACATACTAAGGAAAACAATCCGCATGCATAATTAATTTTTCTATTTATGTAACTTCATTCCACATTGTGCTGTTTGCAATTTATTTGAGATGGAACAGGAATATACAAACGGGATAGCACTGTGCCCAATATTTGGCAACATATGCGCATATTACATCAAGACACAACTGGATGAAGGTATGTAAGGAAACATGAATAATGCGAGAAGACTATAACGTGTATTTCCCAATAGCATTGTAGAGTACGTCTATAGATGAATATTAATTGAACGATTAGTATATCAATTAATTATATTGCAATTATTTTTATAGAAGTCATCTCTTAAATACACGTATAAGCTTAATCGAAACGGAAATATGAGTTCCATGCACTTTGGGATTTCGTTATAAGTATGCTTTACCATAGACATGCATTGGTTGACGTATATGAATTATGTAATGAGTGGCAAATGAACAGTGCCCAATTAGAACAAGCAGTTTTGAGGAAAAAGGCCAAATAAGTAACTTGAAAGAAAGGATGAAGGAATATATTCTTAATACAGGCCATAACTCATGAATTTAGCGATTATTTAAATACAGTACGACCGCTTCTGTGCTCTAGTGGTCAGAGTTGCTGCCTACAGATCCAGAGGTCCCGGGTTCGATTCCGGCACTACCAGATTTTCTGAGAAGTAGTGGGTCTGGAACGGAGTCCACTCAGCATCGTGAGGATAACTGGGGAACTATTTCAAGGAAATAGAAGCTCCGGTCTAGAAGACCGAGATTAACGGCCGTGGGGATCCGTTGCGCTGACCATTTAACACTCTTTATCAGCAAAAGTTAGCAGTAACTTCGCTGACAACCGGCGGTCGCTCGGCCGGTATAGTTCGCCTGCCATGGAGGTTGTTTTGTAAATACAGTACGCAAGAAAAGGTGGAGAACAAAGACGGCAAATGGATGTTTTTGGGAGGACAGGAATTACAGGACATGTGCGTCAGCCTTGTGACTTCTTTTTGGTGGAGAGAATTTGTTACCCAAATCGACAGAAAAAATATACGCTAATTAAACTGTGGTATATGGAGGAAGTAGTGTCATGTATATGATAGGAATTACATTACCTTGGCTGTCGCAAAACGTAGTTGGTATCATCCCGACTGTACCACGCATCTAGCAAATCAGCTTTCAGACCGAGGTCACGTGCTGTTGAGTAGATAGCTTCGTACTGTTCCAGCTCTAATTCCTCCGGTAGAGGGCAGGGTAGGTACTTGTTCCCAACTAAACACTAGAATGATAAAAAAAAGAGAGAGATTACGAAAAAAGCATTACTAATAAAATTACACTGTTGTAATTACATTAAAATCTTCCTAAAAATAATCTTGGAATAGCGTGTATATCGAGGACAAGCAGATCTATTGCATTTGTACAAATGGTACTAGAAGTGTTTCAGACGTGCCTAATCCGAGGATCAATAACAGAACAAAGGCATATAAGGGCCAACGCAATGTGTAAGAATACGGAGAACGTGTATTCTCCATCCGATTTCTACTTTCGCCTTGTAACAACGCTCTGACTACACGCTACGCGGAAGCGTCGGAGAAGTTGCCGCCCCAGCACGGCGGAAAATTTATGCACAGTTCAGTGATGCCCTGATGTACGGCCAGGAACTGGAGACTAGAGACTAGAGCTGCTTCTACCTTCCAGCTCAGGGTTGTGTAATTCAAACCCCTTAGGAACTGCACCCTGCCTTAGCTATGAAAACTTTCCTTTTAAATAGCCGGTAGGGTAGGAGAGCTGCAACAATCAGATCTGAGAAACACAAATACACGAATACAAATTGGGCCCGTATGTTCAAAAATATTTGAATTAAATGTTTCTAAGAGGTCGACGGTGCTTAAAAGTCAGCAGGTAAATGTTTCTTAAATTGCATAAATGCTACTTTTGATTTTAGTTAAATATTAATTTTATATTTTTCTAAATTACTTATTGGGTGATGTGTGAAACAAACTAAACGATTACATCGAATGTTCTGTAAGTATTTTCTGTAAAAATTTATTTTTGACAATATTCGTCACCTCTCTTTTAAGAGGAAGAAAGTCTAACATACTTGCAGAACGGACGGATATTACTGCCGGTCACATGTGGCCCGCGTAGCATCAGTTGCACAGCCACGGTCTAGTCCAGTGTTTCTTAACCGCCGGGCCGCATTACGGTAGCGGGCACTGACATCAATTATACCGGACCCTAGACTTAGAAAAAAAATTACTGGGCCACGGTCTCGCAAATGTTGAGAACCACTGGTCTAGTTTATTTAGTAATGATAGAGATGCACATAAATGCTGAATAGAAAAGATTAGAATGGAGATAGTCACGGCAATCATTTGTCTGAGAAAAGAAAAGAGAAAACCTCAGTAACCTCTCCGACGTTAGATTTGGGTGCCTCACGAATACAGGTCTACAGTGTTGCCTCTGCTCTGTGGCCTTTCACTTCAGTTAGTTACTGGAGCCTGTCACAGCAAGTGTTGCCGATGACAGAGTCGTAATAATAAGAAAACTTTAAGAGAAGCAAGTCAGAACTATGAAGAAAGCAGTCTTCTGGGATTTGGCACCGTGTATATGTGGTGTTAACCGACGTTTCGGAGGAAAGTATCGCCTCCATTTTCAGGGTAGAAGAAAAAATATAAGAAATCTGCAAGCGAAGAGACCGTGAGAACCGGTAAAAGCAGACAGTCTCCGAAACGTCGGTTAACATCACATATACACGGTGCCAAATCCCAGAAGACTGCTTTCTTCATAGTCACCGCCGTGAAAGCCTCAAATCTTACAAGCCAGAACTACTTTAGAAAAATAACAACTTCACAGATTGGTGATATTTTCATATCACTTCGGTCCAAAAGGAAAACCTACTGTTTTAATTCCTAACTTCCGTCATATACTGGCTTATGTCGGTTCAGGAAGTAACAGTGACTGCCGAAAGGAATGCAGGAAAGAATCAGAGTATTAAAGTAATGTTCTTTTGCTGGACCTGCGGCCATGTTGTAAGCTTGAGTTGCTACCAGACTAACATCTTTCATTAGCTTCGTTGTGCAGTGTTGTGAGGCGCTGTGGGAGGCTGGGATACAGGAGCCGTCTGGCTATCGCTTGTTCCTGCAGAGATAACCACATCATCCTCTGCGGGCCGTATCCATTATCCGGCAGTGTTCGGCTCTCTACTCATTACCAGTAAAGACCAAACTAATAAACTTTCTGGGGCGTATCTCATCCCGACACACGGCAAATCCTGACCAGTGAAAGGTTTGTCGGGACTGCATCGGCAGCCTGCACTTCCACGCTTCTGGGGAAAGAGAGAGGAAGAGAGACTGGAAAAAAGAGAGGAAAAATAAAGAAAGTAAAGGAGGGAAAGAAAACTTGCGGGATTTAAGAAAACAGAAGACGGAAAGGAAATAAAATGGAAAACGAGATGGAGAGAGACAGTAGAAAGAAATGAAGAACGAAAGAAAGGAAGGAAAAGGAAAGAAAGAAGAAGCAACAAGTTCCGAGTATAACTCATAAAACCTTTTCTAGTGCACAGATTTCTAGTTCTACACAACTATTATTTTTATTATTGTTATTATGTAAGTTAATTTTCATAAAGAAATTAATAATTATATGTAGATTTTCATCAAGTTAAATTTGTCTGATATTACCTCAAAATTCGCACCGTCATGTCGCCATATTTGTAAGTGCTTACGTACAAACAATGATGTATATGTGATAAGTAGTTACGTTTATGATCTATTTACATACCAGAAGTCACACGCCAGGCTCCAACTGTTAATTATTTTCCCCAACAAAATCTAAAGAGAAAATTATTTTATCGTACTGTTATTTTACATTTTATGTAAGACTGTCTAGATAAAATCCGCACATTTCTCTACGATCTATTGCCGAACTTCTTCTCATCTCAGTGTAATTATTAAGCTGTTGGCGCTCCCACCGCACAAGTTCACTGTCCGCCGTGTTATTATGAGGAATTATATGAAATTAAAATCTATGACGGAGTTGACTCCAATGGCATGACGTCCAAACCAAATTTCTCACAAATCTGCCAGCTGATAAGAAAGTTTAAATTAGGGGACACACATAGAGAGCATGATGATTTCACAAGCGTATTTCTATCCTGAGAGAAGGAAGGTAGGCTGGAAAAGAAGAGGGAAAAATTTAAGGAGAAAAAACGAAAAAAGAAGGGCTACATATCGCACTGCACGCTGACAGCTCCCGTAATGTGAAGTGGTTCCAGGTGACTGGGTGTCCATCGTAAACGTATCCGTTCAGATTTCATGGATCACTTCAGATCACTTGACTATACCTTCTCATGCATAGGAATTATACAGAGAAAATATTCTTCTGCGTTTGGTACAGTCTTGTTTTATACCTGCGAATGATTCTCAGTGGAAGCGAGCTCATAGAGGGAAGGTAATTACCGTCCATCCGTCCGCATGTTTCATCTCCGAAATTAGTATAGGAATATCGATTCAATGTGGTTGGTATTGTTGGGGAAACTTAATTTTAGCTGGTATCCGTAAATTACTGCCAATAATTTACAATGAAATTTGTAATAGTTACTAAATTTGTATATGCAAGAGGAACGAAGAAGACAATATTTTATTCAGAATCTAAAGATTTGTACATTGATTTTACTCTTGTTCAGTATTATACCGAGCTAAATGCTGTGCAGCTACATATTCTGGCGTAACGAGCATTCAGGATTACAGAGTCTTCGGTTACTTGCAAACTATAAGGGTCATATAATGTAGAAGGCATTATTAAAGCAAAGGTATCCCTGTAACAGGCCGTGAAGACCTGTAGGGTTGTGAGAGGTTGAGGCTCTCACATTTTCTAGACTATCGGCTCGCAGATGGCGGTAAGGAAGATTCCTGGCACTTATTTCTCTTAGAGGGTGAGTCGACCCCAGGGCCATATTGCGGGTGGAAGTATTAGGTAAATAAAAAATACTCATCGGGACTCGAACCCGTGACCTTGCCGCTTGTAGCATAGTGTCTTAACCAACTACGCTACCGCGTACCCCAGAAGGTATTAGCAAGATCATGAATGGCGGATAATAAACAATTTGTAGAAGGCGGTTGTGGCTTATTTTCAGGCATTATCCTACAATTCGACACCACACAAAGTGCTTAGTCAGGATGAACGGTGACACAGCCAACATACGAAACAGGTTATCTCCCGTTATTGCTGCATATTCAGCTCGGTGGCAGTGAAGTTGAGAGCAAGGTCAGATTAATCTTTCGCTGCAGTACTATATTACTCCTAATATGCAGTTTCCGAACTCTGGAGGTACGCAAATTATGTACGGGAGATCAAAGGACACGCATATATTTAACCGCACGTCAGAGAAAAAGGGACCTGAGGGTTGGGTTTAGACAAGTCCTTCAATTAGGAATCTTTTATGTATGATATAGAGCGGCAGTGCCCTAAGCGAACTCTTTTAACATTATTAGTTTAATATTTACTGTATTCTGGAGCGCTGTAATATGACATCGGGAGCAGACGCTCTGGAGGATGTGAAAGGGAAGGATTAAGGGAACAGCGTAAAGAACTACTGATGCTTACAGTCCACATCAAGAAGAATTCCCAGCATTTTATGGAACCCGAAGGATCATTACCGTGTTCACAACGGCTCTCCACTGGTCCAAATCCTGAGCCATCTCAATCCAATCCATACCATCCCTTCCTATCTCTCTAAGATCCGTTTTAATATTGTCCACCCACCTACGCCTTGGTCTTCCCAGTGGTCTCTTTCCTTCTGCCTTTCCCACCAATATCCTATATGCATTTCTCGTCTCCACCATTCGTGCTACATGCCCTGTCCATCTCATCCTCCTTGACTTGATCATTCTAATTATACTTGGAGAAAAGTACAAGTTATGAAGCTCCTCATTATGCAGTTTTCTCCAACCTCCTGTCATTTCATCTCCCTTCGGTCCAAATATTCTCCTCAACCACCCTCAGTCTATGTTCCTCCCTTAATGTCAGAGACCAAGTTTCACACCCATACAGAACCACAGGCAAAAATATAGTTTACATTCCACGTCAGAATACAGAATACAATAGAGAAAATGAAACATATATCATTTAGAAATTTATATTTGAATAATATGTCTTCTAAAATGTATCTGTAGGATCGGGGAATTTAAAAAGAAAAAATCGCTTCCACGCGTTCTTAAATTTAAAACGAAAATTTTTATCGCTATGACTACCACTATCCGTTTTGTTTCGAGACTAGGA